CCCCTTCCTTCCCCCATATTCCTCCCTTTCTTCCCCTTATTTCTCCCTCCCTCCTTCCTTCCCTGTGAGCCCTCTCCCCTCCACCATTTCCTTCCCAGTCATTCCTCCTTTCCTCCCTTACCTTCTCTGTTGTGGGCCTGGTGGGAGTGGAGCTGATGGAGGGGAGGGGGGGAGAAGCTGTGCATACAGTTAAATTCATGTAAGTGAAATTAGATACCTACCTGCATTTGAGAATTGCCACCTGCAGGGAATTAGCCAAAAGTGAAGTTACAGATTCATCCCAGTATCGAGGGTAAATGTGTACTCATTTCTGGGGTACCATCAGCATTCATATGACAGGGTCTTGTTTATAAAACCCCAATGCAGCCGCTTCTCTGGAAAACTATTTACAGCACGATTTTTATCTCTTTGATCATTTGGGAAGCCCAAGTTTAAAGGACTGTTGAACAAATGAATTTGAGAATTATAACATTGAGTTCAATTAAAAAGCCTTTTTAGCTGAAACAATTGTTTATAGCACCATATTTAATTCCTATAAAACTGTATTCTAAACTATCTTCTGAGACATTTCAGTGTTACATTAAGAGTTGTTGCCTTTGGTAATCACTGGTTCATTTGCTTTAAAGCATCATGTCATCTTGGGCTTAGGAGAAAGATTACCTTTTGTGCAGGGATAATGGGCTTAAGAGTCTAGTAAAACACATTAACCAGTTTTCCCAATTTTGTTGTTTCTTTTTCTCTGCAGTTCCGTGCCTTAGCACCCATGTACTATCGAGGGTCGGCTGCAGCTATAATTGTTTATGATATCACAAAAGAAGTAAGACCTATATTGTGTTCTTCAGTCTATTTTGAAAACTCTCTTGGTTGCTTAGCTCTCCAGTTGCTTTCCTCTTGTGTGTTACAGGAGACCTTTTCAACATTAAAGAATTGGGTAAAGGAGCTTCGACAACACGGCCCACCTAATATTGTAGTTGCCATTGCAGGAAATAAGTGTGATCTTATCGACGTGAGGTAAGTTATTAGAACAGGAGATTACAATGCTGATCATGTGTTCCTTTTCTTACCGAGCCAATATCCAGTACAAGAATCTTGCTTTTATTTTATCTCTGACATTGAAAAATCCCTTTCTGTTGTGTGGTTGGAGTCCTGAAGTTTCAAAGTAAAATTAAGAGTTCAGGCACTTGGAGCCAATTAGATTATGTATGTGGACAGGTGTGTGATTTCTTTAACGTTGGTTGTATCAGGCTTGACATTATCTGAGCTTAGCTTAGCGCCCGGCTCCCATGACATAGGATTCTGGAATGGCAAAAGCAGATTTTCAGGAAAGCATATTTATTGGAAGTTTCTGTGGACCATTTCCACAATTTGCAAAGCAGGGGCATTACTTTGGGGCCAGGGGAAACCCTGCCATTCTCCGATCATTCCACTGCACGCATTACTAGCAGTGCGATTTTGTTTTATTTAACCATAGACCAAGCCATTCCTGGTACTTTTGTCATCATCAATCTGGTGAATTACTGGGTAGGTGGGGATAACATGAAGTGTTGATGGGTCACATTTCTGATTTACAATCGTTGCCTTCCAGAGAAGTCATGGAGAGAGATGCTAAGGACTACGCAGACTCCATCCATGCGATTTTTGTAGAGACCAGTGCAAAAAATGCGATAAACATCAATGAACTCTTTATAGAAATTAGTGAGTATCTCTGTGCCGTATGGGTTTCCCCCATGCAGGGCAACTTCAAACAGAATTATCTTGCTGGGTGGAATTCCTTCCTCATGTAGAGTCGCCTCGTCTCTGGTGTGGTTCTCAGTGGAATGAGAATTGAGAGGGTAACAGTGACAGCTGGTTTTCATGTCATGTAATTGCTGGAGAGCTGCTGCCTGATGACTGTGGCCCTTCTATTAAAAACATTGCTACTGAATAAATAATGCACGGAGCCTGGAGGGCCTGGAAGCTGTCGCCTCTCCCTCTTTCTCTCTTTATGTGTTTCAATTAGTCTTCCAAAGTCATTGAAAATGAACAAAATAAATAAGGGGAAGGAAAGTGCATGTGGAATTCCACTGTAAGGAAACCCTCAAAAATTAATTCTAGGCAAGTAAAAGGTAAGGCCTGTTTTCCCACCTCTCCCCCTCCCCTTTCCAGAAGTGTTAACATGATGACACTAGATGGGAGAAGCTGCTGCGTACTTTTGGGACCCCTCTGCAGATTATATCTGTTTATTCATTTAAGTTCATCAGAATATGTATTGAGAACCATTCCAGGCTCAGGGGAGACAATGGAGAATGAGACAGACTTGGCCCCTGCTCCCCTGGAGCACAGACTGGCCTGCGGGAGACGACAGTGAGCACAGAAACAAGTAAGATCCTCAGATGATAAGCATCGATAGCAAGAAAATAATATAGGACGAAGTGAGAGTGTCTGCAGGTGGTCAGGGAAAAGGCCTCTCCTGAGCAGGTGATATTGGAGCTGAGGTGCTACAGGGTAGGCCGTGCCCAGACCTGACTTCATGTTAACTAAACATGTCAGACTCCAGATGGAGAGCAGGAGACAGCCATCGGGGCACCGTGAACTTACTCATTAAGATCCATCGTCCGTGAGATCCGAGATTGCTGAGGCTGGAAGGGTGTTCAGTGCCCACCAGGACCCACCATTGACGGCCCACCAGTGGAGCAGGCCTGGGCAGGCGCTGGGACACGGCAGCAGAAGGCCCTGGTGACCCTGACAGCTGGCGGTGGGGGCCCAGCTCCAACAATGTGGCCACACTGGAGTGTAAGCCTCTGGTCTCCCAATTGCTGGGGTTGTTTTTGTTTTTATTTTTAGTTTTTGATGTTTTTAGTTTGTTCAGAGAACCAGAGATCTGAATTTTATGTAACATATCCCATTGTTTAGATTTGGCCACTAACTCAGATATTTTCAGAGTACTGTTCAGGCCTACCAAGCCCATCTGCTGGCAGAGAAGGCCAGTGCATGGCTGGTTTGCAACTTCTGATCCAGCCCCTTCATTTCAACATAAAAAATTCATAATAATTATTATCTTCTTAGATTGTAAATAGCAGTTACCCAGATGCATTCTTGAAAGGCAGTTTGAGGCCAGTCAGGAATTTTTCACAGTTTAAGCTAAAAAACCTAAGTGTGGTGTCAGCAGTGTACTGAAATTATTACTATGCTTAAGTGTTTTTACTCTAGCAGTATTAAAACAGGAAGGTAGTGAAAATCCTTAGATTAAAAACTAACATGTACATGCTCATTTTAACTGTGAAAAAATATATGTTCACAAACATTAGGAAAATCTAGAGAGATGTAAATTGAGGTTATTGTTTACTGGGTATTGTAAAAGTTGCATTAGCACAGTGACTGGCATGCTTGCTTCTTACTGAAGTGTAAATGCTCACATCAGAAGTATAATCCTGAAGGAATTTTCACAAAGTGTACTCCTGCAACCTGTACCCAGAGCAAGACCCGGGTGCACTCCAGGAACATCCACCCCACCCCCTGGGAACCACTGTCCTGACGACTGACTCTTCAGATCTGTTTTGCCTGTTTTCATACTTTATGTGTTTAAAACATACTGTATTTTCTCTTGTTCCCTAGCTTCCTTATCTCTACATACACTTTTAGGCTCATCCATGTCATTGCCTGATCCATTCTCGTCCGTGTGGGGCGTCTGTCAGAGTCAGAATGGAAGTGGGGAGAATACCCACGGTGGTTATCCATCCTGTTGATAGGCATCTGAGTGCTTGTTTCCAATTTAGAGCTTTTACAAATGGTGCTGCTGTGAACATTCTGCTTCCTGTCCAGTATGTACACAATAGGCACACGTTTTTGTTGTTTTGTTTTGTTGTTTTTTTTAATATATCCATTGATTTCAGAGAGAGGAAGGGAGAGGGAGAGGTAGAAACATCAATGATGAGAGAGTCATTGATCGGCTGCCTCCTGCACGCCCCCGACTGAGGACAGAGCCTGCAACCCGGACATGTGCCCTGACCGGGAATCCAGCCGAGATCTGGATCCTTGGTCAGTGCTCAACCGCTGAGCCACACCCAACTGGGCAGGCACACATTTTTGGTAGGTGTATTTTTATACCAGGAGAGGAATAACTGAGTCATGTGTATGCTTGTCTTCAGTACAAGTGTACTTGCTGACTCTCACACCAGGCGCATAGGAGAATTCTCCATCCCTGGTGGGTAGGTAATGATTTTGCATTTCCATTACAGTTAATGAGGTAGAACACCTTTCCAGGTATTTATTCACATTTACATACTATCAGCATGTCCTCCTTTGTGAAATTTTGCCTGTTTTCCTGTTCAGTTGCCTGCCTTTTCCCTAGTGTTCATTGTTTACTTGAATTGTGAGTCCACTGGTGATCATGTGTGTTGGGCAGATCTGCTCTGTGGCTTTATTTCCATGTCTGACTCCTTTGATGAACTGGAGTTTTTAATCTTAGTAGAATCCCATTGGTCCTTGTTTTCCTATATGGTTGGCGCTTTTTGGCTCCAGTTTGAGAAGTCATTGCCTGTTCCCAGGTCAGGAAGTTGCTCTCCTCTGCCTTTTAAACGTGCTTTAGAGATGACTCTGTTTTCCCAGGTGTACTTCCAGGACCCAGTTAGTGAGAAATATGTGATGTCAGGAAGCTTCAGAATAGCTTTTAAATCAACTTGCAGTTTATTCACAACAAGCGTGTATAGGCATTTGAAAAGTAGTGGTAGGACATACCGGGGGACACTTGCAGGTCATGTGGACGCCATGCTGGGTACTACCCACCCAGACTTGCAGGCCACTCAACCTGCTGGAGGCTCCAGTTGTAGCAACCAAGAACCCAGGAGCTGGCAGATTCCATCTCAGGCTGCTCGTGCCCAGAATGCACATGCCAGTTCATTTCATGTTTTCGGAATGCCTCCATGCCAGGTGCTGTGCTAAATAATCCTGGAAACAAGGATGGAGAAACAGAATCTCCTCCTCCAAAGGGCTGAGGGTCTAATCTGAGGGAGGTCTTTGCATAAACAAATACACGACAACGTGCTTCTGACTTCCTAATGGATTTTAGTGCATGAGATGTTGGAGAGTTAGGAAGCAGGAGGACATCAGGAAAGCCTTTGATAGAAGCAGCCCTGAAATTATTGGCGAGGTAGGTGGATGGGTGATTTAAGGTTTCCCTCGAAATTGGCATTATGCTTCATAGAGCAGTAAAGTGAAACCTGTTCATTCTCATACATGGTTGGTAGCAGCACAAAGTGGCACAGCCTCTTTAGAGAGCAATTTGGCAGCATCTGTCAAAATTTAAATCGCACGTCCTTTCTGTGTCTGTGCCAGGCAGACACGGCTACAAGGGATGTATCGGGGTCATACCCAGGAATAGAAGAGCATGACTTGGCTCTTCCACTCTGTTAACTTATCCAACACATCCACTCCGGTTCCCATTCTTGCACCGTTGTTAGTAGCATCATAATATTTCAAACAAGCTGTCCAGCAGCAAGGCGCCACTTCAGTTACAGTTCATCCATACACTGCAGTGTCATAGCGTATAAACTAGAGGGACAGCTCTCCAGGCACTGTGCTGGGACAGTCCCAGGTGCACCATGAAGACAGCAAGGTGGAGAGCTGTGCACTCTGTATGCTCCTGCCTGTCTAGGAAGGGGGGGACAGGTTGAGGTGCGTGTACCTATTCATGGACAGAGTGACGGGCTTGTTCTGATTAATTATTTTGCCATGTGCATGTATTACCTACTCAAAACAAGACATTTTTTTAACAGGTACTTTTTTTAAAAAGTGTTACTAAATGCCACGCGATATCCTTATTTGGACCCTAGAACGGAAACAGAATGTTAATGGAAAACTGATGGTATCTGAAAAAAGTGTGGAGTTCAGTTACTAGTGATGTGCCAATATTGGATTCTTCATTTTGACAGATGTTCCATGGCAGCATAAGATAGTAACATTGGGGGACACTAGGAGAAGGGTATACAGCAACTCTCTATATTATCTTTACAACTTTTCAGTAAATCTAAAATCATTCCAAAATTAAAAGTTTATTAAACTTTATTTTCATGAAGCCTGTCAAGTTACATCTACAAAATTGTGTCTGAGAATGAGAAGATTTGAAAAATTAAGGCTCATTACCTTCCCTCCTCCCCTCTTGGTTTAGGTCGAAGAATTCCATCCACTGACACCAACCCGCCATGTGGCGGGAAGGGCTTCAAACTCCGGAGACAGCCTTCAGAGCCCAGGCGAAGCTGCTGTTGACTGAGCCTCAGCTTCTCAGACTCAATGAAGTAGGTGGTCCTGAAAGCTAATAGGAGGGCTGGGGGCCCTGCCACCAGGCTTCGCCCAGCCAATCTGGTGGTCTTCGTGCAAAAAAGAGTCACAGAAATTTACCAGTCTGTTTCCTGTTTGAAGATTGCAGCAGTACTATTTCAGTCTGTGGATTTGTGTTATGTAAAGACTCTGGTGTACAAAGGGACTCCATCACTGGCTTTTGACCTTGCTGGAAAGGAACATGTAATTGTATGGATGGTAGGATCAAATTGTTGAGTCGTTTTGTAATCAAGATTTTATGTAACATTTATAAAGGGAAAATGAGCACTTTCGTCGTTCATGAGGGAAAGAAGACCTCGTGGAGATTATAATTTCCTTGGTTTCCCATTTCCACTGTTCTAGGGAGTTGTATAATTTAAAATGTGGTAGGATACCATTAAGTGGAGGGATGGCAATTATTATCTGAAGGTAAATGGGTTATTTATCGGACTGATGGAAATGATTGCACCCGCCATCTCCAAAGCACTTTCTATTGCATACATTAGCCCAGGATGCATACAGTAAGTTCACAACAGCAACAGCCCACAGCTCACCCTAGGTTTGCATTCTGACCCTGTCCTGTATGTGTCACCAAACTCATTATTGGCACCTTTTGTAATAAGCTCTCAGGATTGGGGTGGTGGTGGTAAAGAAGCTGACTGGAATAAATTGAAATGCATATGTTTAAACTCACTAACTGGTTTTAAAAGGAAGAAAAAGAAAGTAGTGTAAATGCTGTCAATTTTTTATTTAACCCATATATTTTGGTGGGGGAAACAATTATCTGTTGCTTAGCCTATGTAAAGTTGTAGTCTGTATTTATGAGACCATGGCTTAAAAAGTATAAATTATGTAAATACAGTAATAAATTCTATGTTTCATTCCATTTAATCTTGCCCCATCTTGTGTATGCCCACCCCATTTTCGGCCTGTCCACAGGAGACTGTTCAAAGCACATTTATGTTGTGCAAAAGCATAGAGCCTTAGCTTGCCATCTTTAAAGATTTCTCTGCCTTTCCTTCTACCCCCCACCCCCAAATCCCATCTGGAAATCATAATACAGACATATGCCACTTGGACAAGCCTGACTGGCCCTTCCTAGCCTTGGGGTAAAAAATTAAGCTCCAAGCTCAAGTCATTTACCTGGTCTTGGTAATAAGTTTATTTTCGCTTTTAACAGCGACCTCAGACCAAACTGAAGAAAGCTTTCCTCGTTAACAATTTAGCTTATCTTTCCGGTTCCCTTTTTGCCCCCCCTGCCTCTGTTAGTGGTTAACACTCTTTTCCCTCAGGGAGCTTAATGAGGTTTTTAATACAATCTAAAAATAAAGCACTGAAGTGAAGTTGGTGAAAATTTGTTCCTGGTCTAATTTGGCACCCTTCCAACCTGAGTATTGTAAGGGAAGGAAATTTACAAGATTAAATAGGAAATGAAACAGCTTGAATTTCAAACTAAATTGTATTTTCAGAGCTCTCCTTAAACTGAACAGTCGAAACTTTTAAAAATAATTGTTATTTCTTTGTGCACCCCACTTGATATGGGTGGATTTTAATGGGAAAATTGTAACTCAGATGAAGTACAGAGCGACTCCCTTCTCCCTGGGGAATGTCTCAGGCGTTTGAAATTGTTTATTTTTTTATTAAAGCCGATAGAAGGCACATAGGTAGTGAACGTTCCAATGTCACTTTGTTTAAAATAATGTGGACTCTATGCCCACCCCCGCACCACCCCACTGCCCTGCCGCTGCCACCACCACCATCTTGCTTTTTGTGTTGTTGTTGATTTCAGAGAGAGGGAGGGAAAGGGAGAGGGAGAGGCAGAAACATTAGTGATGAGAGAGAATCTGATCGGCTGTCTCCTGCCAGCCCCCTACTGGGGATCGAGCCTGAAACCCAGGAATGTGCCCTGAGCGGGAATCAAACCATGGCCTCCTGGTTCATGGGTCCATGCTCAGCCACTGAGCTACACCAGCCTGGGCATACTGCTTTAAGAAAAAACAAGTGATTCCAAGGTTTGGGCTCTTTGCACCAGATGGTGGCTTCACTTTATTTAATATACATCCAAGTGGATGCAGGCACCTGGCTACTGCCCTGGTATATCCCTAGCCTTCCTGCTCGGGACCTCTATCTCCATGACAACAGTATAAACACAAAGGTTGCTTGACTCATTCCCGAAGAGGTGATGCTTGTGTGGCCCCTTCTGTCCTATTTTACCAAAAGATGGCGCCAATCTGTGACCATAGATTTCCACCAAGCCTGCCAGTCAATGTTGGCAATTTCATGGTGTCTGGGTTCACAGAGAAAAGAAAAGTGCGTGCCTCCCCTTACTGGTGAGACAAGTGAGTTCCTCTAATCCTAATGTGACAGGACCATCCAGCCCCAGACGGGTCCATCCCTGTAGCCCTGCTATTTCTCAGACACCTTCCATCATGTGAGAGGGATTCTCTTTGGCTGTAGCCACATTTTATTCACAGAATGAATGGCGTGTGTATGGCTGTGCAGCACCAGCCACTATTCACACGGTTCTAGGCCTCTCCTCCCCTCGCTTCCATCAGTTGTCTCAGAAATTGACATGACACCATTCTCGTGTAATATGTTTTTAATCCTAAACAACAGCAACAGACTGCTCTCTCAGATCCACAATCTACGCACGATGAAACAGAGAAAAGGGGTTTTCATTCATTTGGTTTGCTTATGGAATGCAAAGATGAATATTAACATCAGAAGCAGTGTTTCATTTTGAACACACTTTGGATATTAACCTGACTGAGCAACAATCTGATACACATTTCATATATATTCTTTGTTCTTATTTCTTTGGAGAAAAGGCTAGATTTCAAAGGAATTGAGGTCTAACCCATCTATAAAAGTCTTATTTTGGTTCCCTTATGACACAGGGCCATTTTTTTAAAAACTTTAGGGATTGAAAAGAGAAAAATAATTAATTAGCTGCAAGTGTATATTGATTCCTCTCAGAGAAATTGAAATAAGCTCTTTGCAGGTGTCTAATCCTAGTCACCAATGGTCTCTAGAAGTCTCCTTACATACAAGTGTTTTTCTGATCCTCTGATAACTAATTAACTATCATTTGGTGATTAAAAGAACAAAGTAAGAGTATGATCAAGTGTCCTTCATTTCAATTTCTCTTTAAGAAGTGATTGGGGAGAAGTACCTGTATGTAGGCCCTTCAGGTTCCAAATGAACCCTCCATCACCTGTTTCTCAGCCACGGGCAGGATAAGTTCCACATGTAGCAACAGAAAGATTTAGTTCCTTTAAAATAACACACTTCTGGGTTGCCCGTGTATGATGTTTGAAGTGCCTGCCTCCCCCACTTTGAAAGATTTGAGCCTTTTGTCTGAGAGGCTTGATCTGAGTGGGCCGGGATCCTCCTTGAAGTTGTCAGTTTTCATTATTTTTAAATATATAAGAAGGGAAAGAAAATCGTGTTTAATTCTCAGCTTCTCTTTAAGTTTTGTATTCTTTTCTATCCTCAAGAAGGAAAACAGGTTCTAGGAGGCCTTCTAAATTAAACTGAAAGCTACAGTAATGAGAATGTCCATTAGAGAACTATTCCCTGGCTTCCCTGGAGATGTGAACGCAGAATGTCTGCACTTCCGCCGCATGTGTCAGCGCGGGCACGTCTGATGCACATTACGTGGTGCTAATTGGCAGGTCAGCCTCAGAGCTTGAAAAGGCATTTCTTCATGGTCATGGGCAGCTGTTATATTCTGAGAATGAATTGCAAAAGAGGTTATGTTAATTCTTATAGGCATTTTTCACCTGTTTTAAAACTGAAACCGTGATCCATGGACCCTCAGTGTGTAAGATGGAGGCTCAGGGTATATTGCGTGCATGATAGAGCCCCATGCACTTTCAGATGTCTTTGCAAGAACCTGTAGAGGTAATGAAAGAGCCCATTCCTTCTGGGGGAATGTTACTCAAAGTCCCTTAACTCTGGTTTGTACTAGGTACCTGCTTTAGAACATTGGGAATGGCAGCTCCCTAACTCAGGCTGGCTCCCCTCTCCCAACTCCCTAGGCTGTAAATCTTCCTCCTGACCCTCTAATAAAAGTTAAAAGACAGTGATGAGCCAGATGTGTAACCCCATCTACAATCTTTTGTTACTTAAATTTGTTTTAGAGGGACAAGCAGCATGACTTCTGTTTACTCTTCAACTCCAAGAGGTGGTCTACCTCTCAACAGTTAATTTTTTATTTACCAATTTTTTAAAAATATGTTTTTATTGATTTCAGAGAGAAAGGAAGGGAGAGAGAGAGGAAGGGAGAGAGAGAGAAACATCAGTGATGAGAGAGAATCATTGATCAGCTGCTTTCTGCACGCCCCCTACTAGGGNAATTTTTTATTTACCAATTTTTTAAAAATATGTTTTTATTGATTTCAGAGAGAAAGGAAGGGAGAGAGAGAGGAAGGGAGAGAGAGAGAAACATCAGTGATGAGAGAGAATCATTGATCAGCTGCCTTCTGCACGCCCCCTACTAGGAATCGAGCCCGAAACCCAGGCATGTGCCCTGACCGGAATCAAACCATGACCTACTGGTTCATGGGTCAACACTCAACCACTTATCCACACCAGCTGGGCAACAGTAAATATTTTTTTAAAGGAAAAAATGGAATGTACCTTCCAGGGTCAGGTTGTTACTGACAACTTCAATTAGCATGGTCCCTTCAATTAGCATAGTCCATCAAAAATTTAAAAATGATTCCAGGTTAATGTTTAGGAGAGAAAAAATAGTCCAAGCAACGATTTATCCAGGAGGTAAACACTGTACTGTATAGTTTTAGAAGAGGGAGGTGTGATGGGATTTAACCCAGGACAGAAAGAAACCACCTCTGCCAATTTCTCTTGACAGCAGAGTTACTTGCCTTGACTTCCAGTAATAGAAATCCAGGCAACTTTATTACCTGGTTTGCAAGAAACATTAATGTAATTCTGGGGCATTTGTCCTATTCTCTGTGCAAATGAATTCTAAAAAGTATTAGAAAGGTGTTACATTTCTCAGGAGCCTCCGCTTTTTCAGTCCAAGAGACTAAGTGAGAGACCCTTTGTGATGAAGTTTTCATTAGACCTAATGAACAAAGTGAGTAAATAGAATAAGAATGTCCGTATTTCTCAGTTTGTCCTTCAGGATTCTCTCAGCACGTGGGGAAATGGTTGACTTCCCAAATCAAGGAGGACTTCTGCTAGCATAGATCAACTTGAATTTGAGTCTATACCATCAGGAATAAAGAACATCTGTGTTCTTCCCTTGCAGAGTGTAATCAATTATAGATATGCTAGAATATTTGGGGCTTCCAAACAAAAGGATTCAGAAGTTCAATAACAAGAAAGACCTTTCACAGGTCAAGTTGTTACTGCATACCTTATGATTATGTTACTGCATAATCATAAGAAAGACTTTTCTTATGATTATATTGAACATTTTAGATAGCAAGGTTAGAATGTGTCATTAGTAGATACTGGAATTAAAATTATGGAGCCTTAAGTTTAATTAAAAAAAAAAGTTTTCATTTATTGCCAGTTTGTTCTCAGATCTATAGGGTGCCCAGTGCCTCATCAAAATACTTCATAATTGAAACAAAGAAAATTTGGGGTAGCTTTCCATGAACAGGAATTCAAGTGCCAAGAATTCAGCCAATTAATGGGAAATCCTAAGACAGCAATGATTTTTTGAAAGGGCCTCCTTTAATTGGCAGTTTTAAATGATAGACCTTAATGTTCTTCTTAATCATGCAACAGAAGCAAAACATGCTAGTTTTCCTGCCACATCTTGATTCAGGAACTTTTCAGTGTTTCTGGAAGCAAATTACTTAATATCAGTGCTACTTTGGAGAAAATCATTTTTCACATAGCATTTTGTGCATAGGGCCAGTAATCTTTACTTGGAACTGAAGTCCAGGAAACTCCCACAAAGTCGTGTTGTAGAAAAGGCCAAGAGCATGGGTCAGGCCAGTGGGGGCAAGCAGCACACACTCCCACTTGGGAGCACTGTCGGCACGCGGCGGCATATGACTTCACCTTGGGGCTTAATCCTAATCTCATTTGTCCTTTATGAATGTTTTTATTAAATTTACCCTTGAATAATCAGATTTACCCCCTGAGGAATTTCAAAAGCAGGGCTTGAATTTGTGTACCTGCTTTTACTTTACTTATGAGGTTATTACATAATTGATGAAACTTTTCCTTAATATGGACCGTGCCCATGATGTCAGAGTGGCCAGTCTGTTCCGTGCAGGAAAACCGTCAGCAGCTGGCTCGGCAGAGCAACTGATTGGTGGCAATGTTTTTAAACCATTTGTCGTGTTGTGTGGACAGAGCTTTATTGCTCTGGGAAAGATTTTCTCTCTCTCTCCTCCAGTTCTGTCTTTCCATCATTACACTTTATGAGTCACTCACGTGGTTGTCAGTCATGCCTCTGACTCTCTAAAGAATTGATGTCTTGCCTTCTCTGTGATCAAAATGGACTTCTTGTCTTATTTCTCTTATTCTCATTTTGCAGTGGGCCGTCCCTTAAAGACACAGGGCGCCAGCCGCCTCCGTAGTGCACGTGACAGTGGGGTGCCACCTTCCGCAGGCACAGTGGGGTTGATCCCCATGTCCAGCAAGGGAGGTGAGGCACCACGAGCGCTGTCAGCAAACAGGGCTAATTTT